CACGCCCTCTCGCGGGTCCGGGCGCGGGCGCGCTTCGCGGCCTTTAGCTGGCCGAGTCCCGGGCCTCCTGCGGTGGGCGCGACCCTGCGCCTCGGCGGCCATGGACTCCAAGGGGCTGCAGGTGAGCGCGCGGCCGGACGGGCTTGCCCTGGGTTGGCGCTTGCCCGGGGGCGCGGGCGGAGCCCGGGGACTCCGAGTGTGCTGGTCGCCGGTGGCCGAGGGCCCTGGGAACCGAGGCCCGCGCCGGCCGGTCCGGAGTCGGCCCCGCGCTGAGGGAGCCTGGCCGTGGACTTCGCCCCCGGGGATGGAGGGACAGGGCGCTGCGCCTCCGGGCGCGATTCTTAAGGATGTCGGACACCGGACGGAGGAAAGAGCCGGGAGAGACTGGCAAAGCTGCCAAAGCCCCGGGGCTGGGACGCGGAGGAGGACTCCGGGACGAGCCACTCATCGCGTGGTGAATGGTGGTGGGCTGTGTCTTGCCGTGCCTCTGCCTTGCTAACGCCTAGACTTTCGTCCGAAGTCCGGAAAGGGAAATAGGAAGGGTTAGATTAGATTCCGAGTGTGGATTTGCATCTCAAGTGTCAGCCCCAAGGCCCTCCCCCAGGAATCTGCCTTAGTTTTGTACTTCCATCCTCCCGCTCACCCCACCCTCAGGGACCCAGACTGTCACCGTGTCCTAAGCAGTGTATAGCTTCTGTCGTACATTACTACATTGTAGTCTTTAGGTTACATCTGGAAAATGCAAACTTTTCTGGGGAAGAGACCAGTTTTTTACTCATCTTCGTATCTTTAGTGTCAGTGCCCGGCAGTAGTAAGTCAGTGAATATCTGTTGAACTAAAACCTGAACCATGACAGTGACAATGATTTTTTTTTTTTTTTTTTTTTTTTTTTTTTTTTTTGGTGGGGGTGGCAGTGGCAATGGCAGTGATTATGAAGTGTGGTACGAAGACTAGAGAAACAGAAGAACCGAAGCGACTGTTCACACTTAGCCATTGGGGGCAGATGAGAAGGGAGAATCGTGACCCCGTTGCTGGTTTAGACAACAGATAGCAAATGAAAATGAATCTCGAGCTTAGATCCGTGGTCTCGGTTAGACACTATTTTTGCGTTTCATCAGCATACAGGGTTCAGTGAAGCTTTTTCAGAACAGTGCTTTTACACTGTGGTAATCTTAATCTTTGCAACCACCTGTAATTTGTTTTACTAGAATCGTAAGCTAGAGTGCTGTTAAGGACCAAAGACAGGCAACCCCATCTTTTCACCTTTAGCTTCTTGTTCTTTTCCTAATACTTTGCTCCTACCACCCAGGAGAGTTATAGGTGCTGAATGTTACTAAATGTCGGACAATTAAAAATATCCTTATCTGTGGCAAATTAAACGGTTGTCCTTGACCTTAGAGAATGGGCCACTGAAGGGAAATCGCAGGCAGTTCTCTCTGAGGCACAAGAGGAAAGAAGAGTAAAGTTAACAGAAAAATTTCCTGAGATCTATGGAAGGAGGAGGATGTAGCCCTCCAGGAAAAAAAGACTAAAACAGAGCTGTGTAGACTCCCTTACATTTTAATTCTGCCAACAGGTGGTTCGTATTTTTCACTTGTGCTAAACCAGGATAGGTAGGTATTGGCTGACCCACATTAGATTATGGAGCAGAACCGCTTGTGTCAGTGGTGGTGGTAAAATGTGGCTTCCTTCCTTGATTAGGTCATCAGCTAAGCCTTAGAGAAGATCCCTGGAAAAGTGGTGTAAAACACAGACCCAGTTCATTGGAACTTAGTATCTCTTGATGGGTTTTTGCCTTATAAATTAAACAATATCATTTTTTAAAAAAGCCTAAAGGTAGTCATTTGCACTGGAAAGTAGTTTAGCTCCCTGAGTATTTCTAATAGTTGATCTGTGTTCAAATGTAGAACATGTAGGGCACCACTGGACAATAAGTTGCTGTTTAATTTGTCATTATTTTGTAATGCTACCATGACAGATTACTTTTACTCCCATCTGGCAGTGGAAACCTCATCTTTAAAAATTAATTAATTAATTCTGGACTGGCCAGATAGCCCAGTGGACTAAAGCACCTGGTTAGGCAGAGCACAGGGACCAGGGTTCAATTCCCAGTGTGCCATGCTTGCCCCATCCCAGGGGCACACTGAGACAGACTGAGACTGGGTGTGGTAGTGTGCCCCAGGGTAATCCCAGTGCTTGAGAGGCTGAAAATGGCAATCACTATGAGGCCAATCCTGAGTACTGAGACCCTGTAGATCTTTTACTAAATACATTTTTTTAAAAAAAAATCCTGTTTTTTTTTTTCTCTTTTTCTAATTTTTGAAAACTTTAAGAAATATGGGTAAATGAAAAGGTTTGATGAAAGTCTGATTTCAGTACTGTTACCAAAAAAAAAATGGAAAAATTGAAATTATTAGGAAACAGAGTTATTTCAGTAATTTTGTGTTCCTTCTGTTATGCAGTCCTAAGTGTTGGTTGCTAGGGTAAAATCACATGAGCTAAGTTTTCAGATTATTCAAGGTTTTAAGTTGATATCTGTTTCAGAACTCCGGAATCTCTCCTGAACTTAACCCCTTGTTTCTGTTTAGACGTTGATTAATTATTATTGTCAAGAGCGGTATTTCCATCATGTGTTACTTGTTGCCAGTGAAGGAATGAAGAGGTATGGCAGTGACCCCGTCTTCAGGTTTTATCATGCCTATGGTACACTGATGGAAGGTAGGCACCACTCATTAAATAATTAAGTTCTAGATTCTTGTTTTGAGCTAAAAATAATTTTCAACTTTATAATCTTGACCTTTCAGGTAAAATTCAAGAAGCTCTTCGAGAATTCGAGGCTATTACAAATAAACAAGATGTATCACTTTGTTCACTAATTGCACTGATATATGCACATAAAATGAGTCCTAATCCAGGTATAGTATTTAAGCATAATGTATAGGTGAAGTTTCCTTACTTCATTGTGATTTCTACAATATTTGGTGTGATCATTCTGTATTATATACTATTTATAGATACTTTTTACATCATAGTCTTTTAACTTCCTGACAAGAATGTGAATTCATCAAGCGTAAGAAATGTATGTCTAGGGGCCGGGGAAATGGCTCAGTAGAATAAGTGCTTCCCTGGCAAGTGCAAGGGCCTGAGTTCAATCCCAGGTTCCGCAAAAAAAAAAAAAAAAAAAAAAATGTATGTCTTATTTTTTTCATATTCCATACATCCTATGGCAGAGGTTTCACTAGTACATAAGAATTATTTGATATGGTTTAAGGGTAATATATATTAGCAATTGTTATTCAAAAGGTGAGCAAACAGCTGTCCCTCCAAAAAAAAAAAAAAAATATATATATATACATATATATATATATCCTGCATTAGCCAACTTTACAACTTGTTGTATGCTAATAGAAACAATGTGTAGCGTATCTCTTGTATATTAAGGCTCTGGAAAGCTTTTTAGTTCCTCATTAGGGCTAGCTCTTGGAAGACAGTAAATTTTTATCCAGTAGTAGGTAAGAATGTGTGACTAACTTATAGAAGGAAACTTGTTGATAAACTAGTAATTAAAATTGTGTTTTATTGTCTTAGTATATTCTGCTTTAAGGCTAAGAGAGTAGTACTCTATATTATAGATAATAAAAGAACAGAAATATATGCCATACATATATATACATATATATGGTAATAGCTAATAGTTGTGCTATTTTGAATATACAGTGACCATCTGTTAGAGAATAGTTTCTTAAATATAAGAGGTTTTCTTAAAGTATTGAGCTCCTTCACCTATGTGCACATACGCAATAATGCTAAGTTGTTTAGAACACTGTGTTGAAAACCAGACTAGCATAGCCAGGCATGGTTGTACATACCTTGAATCCCAGTACTTGGGAGGCTGAGGCAGGGTGGTCCATCCTGACAACATGGTAATAATATTTTGTCTCAAAAAAAAAAAAAAAATTAAAAACATTAACAAAAGCAAACTAACAATTTTGTGTTCATTTCTGCAGAGGACTATAAATTGATAAAAATGAGTCTAAGCTGGGCATGGTGGCACACACCTATAATCCCAGCACTGGGAGGCTGAGGCAGGAGAATCTTGTGAGTTTGAGACCAGTCTGGACTACAAAGTGAGCTCAAGGCCAGCCTGAACTGCATAGGGAAACCCCATCTCTAAAAGATAAAAGAAAAAGAAAAAAAGTCTATATTGTTTGGAATTTGTATATGCCATTACTATATTAAAGTATGCTGGGAAGGCTTTGTGAGTGATAGGAACTTGTTCTAGTCTTTGCAGACAATGTGAAGTTTGAATACAAAGGATATTAATGAGACAGGAGAAATGGGTCAGCAATCCATAGAGGTTGCCCAGCATTTGATTCTCTTACAGATCTCCTTTCTCTCTGCACCAGTTGAAGTAAGTTTTTACCTGAAGCCAAGCATTTGCATAGGAGCATTGCAGTGTCAGTAAGCCAGAAATGGAGGGAAGGAGAGATGGCTTAGAGATATTTGAGGGCTGATTCTACTTTCCACCTTATGATGCCCAGTGAACTAACTAACTAACTAACTAACTAACTTTCTTTCTTTCAACTCAGGCCCTTGTGCTTGCCAGGCAAGCACCTATTCTACTGAACCATCTCCATGCCCCCCCAACCCCAGTGAACTTTAGAAGGGACTTGGGTATGTGTAAATATTACCTAGGAAAGCCTGGACTGTTGGTGTGTTAACTTCTTGAAAGCCAGTGTAAGTCCTTATAACATGACTCAAGCTGAGATCTAGCACCAACCAGCTTTGTGCAAATAGTGCCATAGCTTACCGCTAACCTGTTAGGGACTAGATGCAACTGTAGGCTGAAACACACAGTGACTGTGTCTGCCTGGATACATTGATTGATTTTCATTTCATGGCCACTTAGTGAAAACTTCTCAAAGGGTTTGGGGGCAGGCGTGTTGATCATTTGACCTATAATAATCACTTACTTCATTTTCATTTTCATTTAACATTGTTTTCCTCTCTCAGATAGAGAAGCTATTCTGGAGTCAGATGCCAGAGTGAAGGAACAACGTAAAGGAGCTGATCAGAAAGCTTTATACCATGCAGGCCTGTTTTTATGGCATGTTGGACGTCACGATAAGGCGAGAGAATACATTGAAAGAATGATAAAGATGCCCAACAGTAGCAACGAGGTGGCTGATTTTCCTGTTTTGGAATAATAACATCAAAGGAAGTTTATGTTATTTATGTATTCAGTAGTATCTTGTTTAGTTCTTATTGTCTGTTGTTAAATGTCAGCTTTTTTAAAATATTTTCTGTACTGTAGAGATTCTCTATGGTTGCTTCATTTTGTCCTGATAACTTGAAATGATGCTTCCTTGGTTCCTTCTTTTTCTGTTCCCTTTTTCCTCCTCCACTTACTGTTTGCTTACCTTTCTTCTTTTCTCTTTTGTTGAACAATTCTGCATGATGACACTGTTACTTCTACTGCTGGTAATGCACAGATGAAGAGTACATCAGTTTTACTTTCTTGAACAAATTGCAATGTCTGGTAGTGGCACAGAGCTTGTACTCAGCATATATTGTGAGAAAAATTACAAATGTTTGAAGAATATGTAATGATAGTGCATAGGAAAATTATACCTAACATTTACTACTTGCTTGCTTTTTACTAGACTCTATTGTAAGTTAAAAAGAGAGATTATGTCAGTGTTGGGACGAAGAGGTTCTAAAGGACATAGGTTTTGAGCTGTAGCCTGAAAGATAGATTTCATTTCATCAGATTATAAGAAAGCAAAGTAAATCCTCCCCAAGTGAAAAATGATAGGTGGAGATGAGAAATGTTCTCTCTTGGCACAATGATAACCTTGCATTTGGTGGGAACACAAGGTAGATAAATGCAGATGATAGAAGAAAGGTCTGGAGAGATAGATGGGTCAAACTGGAGGGTCCTGTCTGTTAAGTACAAATATTTGTGTCTAATTTGGTAGACACTGAGAGATCACTGAAGTTTTTTAATCATGGGAGTAATATTATTAAAAGGTATATGCATATCCAGAAGATTAATTTAATAGTGGTTTGTGGGGTAAACTCACCTGGAGAGAAGCTAAAATGTGGGGGAACAAAAAAGGTAGTGCTTTCTGATGGAAGGTTTTGAGGGACTACACTAAAATATACACAAATGGTGTGGTGGCATACACTTGTAATCCCAGGACTTGGTAGAATGAGAAAGGAGGACTACCATGAGTTCCAGGCCAGGCTGGGCTACGTAGAAAGTTCATGGCCAGCCTAAACTACATAGTGAGATCCTGTCTCAAAATAGCAACAGCATGTGTATACATGTACAGTATTAAACTTGAGAATTTTGAATACCTTCAGGGCTTGTTATCTGGTAACAGATAAGAGGAGGGAAAAATAGGGCTGGCAAGATAGCTCCTTAGGCAAGTTCAGGGGCCTGGGTTCAATCCCTGGTAACACATACTACTCCAGCCCTGTCTCTGGGCATGCTAAACTGGCTACTGAGACTGGGCATGGTGGCGCATGCCTGCAATCCCAGCACTGGAAAGGCTGAAGACAGAAGAATCACTATGAGTCTAAGCTGCACAGTGAGACCCTGTACAAAAGGAGAAGGAAAAAATGATGAGGAATCACATACCAGGGGTGCCTCTGATATTTTAAGTCTGTATAATTCAAAGAGGAGTTAACGTCAGTATAAGAAATTTTACACTAAGAAGCTAGCCTTAGAGGGAGGTGGCAGATTTACCTTCTGACATGTATTTGTCTAGGTGCTGGCAAAACAGATGTTGGTAACTTGGGCTCCTCTGGAGAAAGAAAAGTTTGGAAAAGGTTTTGGGGAAGAAAACCCAAAAAAGTTATGTGAATCAACCAATGATAGTAGTTGAAACCATTCAAGATATAATCTAGTTGGTAGAAGATTATTGTTTAAGTCACTAATATGTCTTTTCAGATAAGATTCAAATAAGTATAGTCTTAGTTAAATACCTATACATTTATGAGATACTATAAAAAGTTGTAATAGAACAGAATATTTGTAATTTTTATTTGGTGTTAAAAAGAATAAAGAGGGTTTTTTTTTTTCTAGTCTTGTAAACTTTTCAAACCATTGGTTCACTAACATCTCAAAAGGTAAATATTCATGACTCATTGAATTTTAATTTTCAGGTTCTTTACCTTTTCATTTGAAATTCACTGGACTATTACAGAGGTTAAGAAGACAACTGCATAATTATCTGGATCTTTAATGCATGTTGAATGAGAGCTCTTCTGTTTTTCATCCTAGTTCATTTAGGTTGTTTGTTAAAAAGAAATAGTCCAAGGAGATAGCCAAGTAGAATGAGCACCTGCCTGGCAAGTGCAAGGTCCTGGGTTCAATCTCCAGTATCGCAAAAAAAGAAAAGTAACAACATGTGCTTACTTTTATATTGAATTACATTTCATTATTTTTAGAAATAGTTTACTAGAAAGCCTCAGAAGAATACTTGTTTTAGCATTAGTGGAAAATTAACCAGACTTCTTCATGCTTCATAATAATCTCTGGAATTCATAGTCTAGTTTCTAAGACTAAATTGGCAAGGGTTCAAAAGCAGTATTACTACAAGTAATTGTTCAGGAGTTATTATAGAGTCCATTTTGTTACTACTAGTAAATGATATTGTATACCTTTCTCAGTAGTTATTTCTAGCATCTCAGAAAATAGCAAATATGACTGGAATTGCTTATTTTACAGGGACAAATTCTGAAAGCATGGCTTGATATTACAAGAGGAAAAGAACCTTATGCTAAAAAAGCACTAAGATGCTTTGAAGAGGGATTACAGGACGGAAAGGATATTTTTGCTCTGCTGGGTAAGGTAAGTTGAAGTTAAGATAAATTGTTTTGAATTTGTTCAACATTTGGTACCTTAACAAACAAAATAGTCCCAAAAAAGAGAGTATTTTTTAATGATACTGTTGGTACCTCTCAGAGGGACTTGTATTTGTGTAGGGAACAGCTAGAGAAATGAATTCCATATCACCGTTCTTGAATCAGGTTATTTTTGTTATTGATTCAGCTTTCTTTCCTCAACAAATACTATCTGAGGTGTGTCAGGCATCTCTAGATCTTAGTGATGGCCTAAGCCAGTAGAACCTTCTGTCTTACAGAATTTATATTCTGCAGAGATGGGCAGCAATAAAGTTGGGTAGCAGATTAGGAGGTAGGAAGTGCAATGGGAGAGAAAAGCAGATCGTCTGGCTCCCTACTTTGGGCAGTGAGAAGCTCAATAGGTAAGATCACAGGTTTGATCTTTTTTTTTTTACCTCCCTTTAGGCACAATGCCTTGAGATGCGCCAGAATTATTCCAGTGCTCTAGAGACTGTGAACCAGATAATCGTGAACTTTCCAAGCTTCCTTCCTGCTTTTATAAAGAAAATGAAGTTACAACTAGCCTTGCAGGATTGGGACCAGATGGTTGAGACAGCACAAAGGTTAAGTACAAAAAAAGTCATGTATCTTTTTGGTCTTTATAATTACAACACCAAAAAATTATGTATATTACTTGTTATGACAGTTTTTTTAAAAATCATTATAGAATTTTTCCAAGCAAGATAGATTGATTTTTTTTCTAAAGAGAATAGAATTGAGGACAACTTAAAATTGCGTTTTTTTAAAAAGCTGAATGTATTGATTTATATAAAAATACCTGCCCTAAGATACTCGTTGGACAAACACAAATTCCTGTCCTCACAAATTTTATGTTGAAGTGAGAGGAACCATGTGCTATACTAATAAAAACAAACAGAAAAATTATGTGGTAAATGAGACATAAGTGTTACGGAGAAAAAATACAATAGAAAAGTAATTCATTCCACACACGCAAGTTGGTTATCTCAGTCTGGTCTCATTGTCTCTTGTCCAGCTTCAAGTTTCACACCCAGTAGGGTAGGTGTGGTGCCCACTGCCTTGGGTGCTGGTCATCACCAGTGTGTTCTTCCCTGGGCAAAAGAGAGGCAGCTGCCAGAGGAGACTGTTTACTTGGTGATAGCAGAGGTGCAAGAGGTTCCACTCCTGCCTGCACACCATTGCCAATGTAAGAAAATTAACCAGATCCCTACTTAAGACGAGAAGCACCTTTTCCTTGGTTCAGTTACATGGCAGAAAGTGAATATTCGAGGAGAAATGAAAAAACAAACCTGATAATTTAGTGTACCACATAACACCGGGTGAAAGATACCTTTTGTTCAGGTCATTTTAGAAGTAATCTTGAGGTAAATTTCATAAAGATCTTCATTGCTTTTGCTCGTTTCTTAGTAAATTTGTATTTTTTTCTTTCAGTTTAGTTCCAGTTATGAATAGGATTTTTACTATATTTTCTAGTGTTTTTTTTTTTTTTTTAGACATAGCATTTTTAATGTTATGAGTAACATTAATAGATTTTTTTTTTAACATTAATAGATTTTTAAATGTTTAACCCATCTTAGCATTCCTAGAATTTCTATGCTAAACTAGCCTGGTCAAGATGGATTAAACATTTATTATACTGTTGTGTACAGTTAGCTCATACTTTAATTAGGAATGTCACAAGCTTTCATCAGACTAGTATGATCTGTTCATCTTATAAAAATTTATTAAAGCTTGAATTTGAGAAACTTAAAGGTTTAAGTAATTTAGATAGCACGTTAGTAGCGTTACCAATCTGAACAGTGGCATAGTCAAAATAACAGACCAACTTTTCATGTTTTCAAATAACGTATGTATGTTTATCACCATTAACCGGCATGTTTTCCTACAGATTGCTGCTTCAAGATAATCAAAATGTGGAAGCACTGAGAATGCTGGCTCTTTACTCTTTGTGTAGGGAAGGCAATATAGACAAGGTAAGTTGTGTTCCATTTCCTGTGTTACAGATGTATTTCACCACATACGAATGTGTGTATGTGCATTCATTAGTACTCAGCTGTTCTTTTAGAATGTGTATCACAGTAGTTTTTAGTTAATTACTAGACATTCACTTCAACAAAGAAGTTAGCTTCTCATATCGATTGGTAAAGCAAAAATATTACATAGTGAAAATTACCCTTGAAATTTTCTTACATCATTATTGCAGTATGTGTTTTTTCAGATGAAACTCCTGTATTGCAATATATTTGATTAATGAAATCAGTAATACAGGATACAAAAGAGTACATATTTAAAATTTTATCATATTTTCATAATTTAATTGAGTTTGTGTAAGGTGAATAAACTTAATGTGAAATTGCATTGTACCTTACAATAAAGTCCTTCTGTTCCTGTTTCAGTGGACACATTGACTGTGTACTGGATGATAGAGAACCAGAGTCCAATCTGAATCAAGTAATGCTGTAGCAGGTTGAACTCCATGATGTTTTGTGGCTAACTTGGTTAATGTGACAGTGCCTAATCTTAGTAACCACTGAAAGATCTTAGGAGGACAAATTTTCAGTTAATTTTTCTCACATTTGTTAGGCTCTTTGGATGTAACAGTGGTAGGAGGTTTCCCTAGCATGTGTAAGGCCACACTGAAAAGCACTTTAAGTTCTTTTGCTATCCCAGAAAACATTTTAAAAAATAACCTACTACACATAGGCAGTTGAATGCCTGAATATTGATTGTAAATAAGTATTCATTTATGTGTCCTTATATCATGAAATTATTGGCGATAGAGCTTGGTTTGTATACTTAATTAATATAAGCATCTTTACCTGTCCAGAGATTTCTGTTGAATAGCAAATAGCAAATATTAAAGAATGGAATGTAAGTCCTTTATGTGTCATTATTGATCTTTTATAATAATTCAAATAGAGCTGGCCAGATAACTCAGCGGACTAAAGCGACTGTTTAGGCAGAGCACAGTGGCCAGGATTCAATCCTTGGTGTGCCATGTCAGCCCTGTCCCCAGGGCATGCTGGGACTCTGTGCTGGCACATGCCTATACTTCCAGCGCTTGGGAGACTTAAAACAGGAGGATCACTACAAGTCCAATCTATGTAATGAGACCCTATAAACCCTATGCTAAACACACACAAAAAAAAAACTAATTAAAATAGTTCTTACAACATATGGGATTCCATTGAAAGAGCAAAACTTTGTAAAGCAAAGTCTCTTAAAATTTGAGTAATAGCACATTGCATATGTGCATGTAGTATGTTCTTTTTTCTTAGTTTACTTAAAAGTTAATATGAATTTTTTTTTTTTTTTTCTAGGCTGCCAACAAGCTGGAAAACTTAGAAAATGCATTGGATATCGTGGAACCACAGAATCCTGAACTTTTTTATAAGATTACAAAAGTCTTCAGC